CAGCTATTATTATTGAAGACAGTCTAATTACTGTCTAATTATTGTCCTCTCCATTCATAGCATAACAAAATTTTAAAACCCTTAATCCATCAATATGGATTTCTTTTAAAAGCATCAGTGTGGATTAGGCAAATTTGTCTAGCCCTTTTAGGCCATGATTCTGTGGTATTTGTCTTAGTTGTTGTTGTTGTTAGGTGCCATTGTTTGAGTTGATTCCAACCTATAATGACCCTGTATAAGGTTTCCAAGGAGCAGCTGATGAGATTGAACTGCCGACCTTGCAGTTCAAATGACTTTGCAGTCTAACACATTAGCCCACAGCAGAAAAAGCAAGTATTTCATGTTTTAGTTTGTTGTTAAGTGGTATTGAGTCAGATCGGACACACGGGATCCTAAGTAGGGTTTCCCAGGCACTGCTGGTGGGTTTGAACTCCCCATTTTGTAGTTAACAGTCTAGTGCTTATCGTACAGTGCCATACCAGGACTTAGGTTTTGTTGCGGTACCTGATATCATATCCAGCATGTAAATAGGCCTTCACTGCATGTTGTTATAAATTATTTGTTGTTTTTATTATTGTCTTTGGGTGGTGCAAACAGTTCGAGTCCACCCAAAAAATCCTCACAATTTGCTTTAAAAAAAATCACCCGTTGAAAATCACCCAATGGAGCACAGTTCTACTCCGAAGCACATGGGGTCGCTGTGAGTTGGAATCAACTCAATGACAACCAGCTCTAGGAAGAAAGGTAGAAGGGGTCGTGGCAGTGGAGCACAATGGATGGAGCAAGAGCTTCCACCTGAGCAGGAAGATTCTGAACTGAACTTGGCCTGCCACTTAGCTGTGAGTCATGGAGCCAGTCCCTCCTCTCTCTGGGTCTCTGCTTCCTCGCCTGAATCAATACAGCAGTTGCCATTCAAGCTGATTACAACTCACAGCAACTTTATGTGTTTCAGAGTAGAACTATGTTCCCGTAGCATTTTCCGAGGCTATGACCTTTCAGAAATAGATCACCAGGCTTTCTCCTACTCTCCTGAGTGTGGGGAGAGTTAGTTTGTTGTTAGGTGCTGTCCAGTTAGTCCCAACTCATAGAGACACTATGTGCCAAAAACCAAAATACTGTCTGGTCATGCACCATCTCCACAATCCTATCTATCCCATTGTGGCCACTGAGTCTGTCTGTCTTGTTGAGGGTCATTCTCTTTCTTACAAATACTTCTCTAAGTGTGATGTCCTTCTCTAAGGACTGATCTCTCCTGATAACATGTCCAAAGTATGTTAGACCAGGTCTGACCATCCTTGCTTCTAAAGAGACTTCTGGTGATACTTCTTCCAACACAGATTTACGTTCATTCTTAAGGCACAGCATGGTGTAGTCAATATTCTTTGTCAACCTCCTAATTCAAAAGCATCAATTCTGCCTTGATCTTCCCTTAGTCATTATCCAGGGTGGTCCTGATGTGGTGCTGGAGGATAAGCACTGGACTACAAGGTCAGTTTGAATCACAAGGCTTGAATCACAAACTCAGTAGGCCACTCTTCGGAAACCCTACGTAGGAGCACTGAATCAGAGCCAACTCCACGGCACTTAACAACAATAAATAACAATTGCATTTATTGCCTATCCTTTGTGGTCATATGAAGCAGTTGAAAAGACCATGGCTTGGGTTAGGTGCACCTTAGTCCATCAAACTGATATCTAAGCTTTTCAACACTTTACAGAGCTCTTTCGTTGTACATATGCCCAATAACAATTTGCCATTTGATTTCCTGACTGCTATTTCCATGGGTGTTAATTGTGGCTCCAAGTAAAATAAAATCCTCGACAACTTTAATTTTTTCCTCTGGTTATTATGATGCTGCTTATTGGTCCAGTTGTAAAGATTTTTTTTCTTTACGTTGCGGTGTAATCCATCCTGGAGTGGTGCCGTAGGATAAGCATTGTACTGCTTAACCTCAAGGTTGATGGTTCAAACCCACCAGCCATTCTTTGGAAACCCTATGCAGGGTCACTATGAGTTGGAAACAACTCAATGGCACTTAATAACAACAACAATCTGTACTGAGGGCTACCGTCTTTGATCTTCATCAGTAAATGCTTCAAGTCCTCTTCAGCTTCAGCAAGTGTTTGATGGGGACCTCAGTGAAACTGCGGGTGTCCAGTTCCTACATCTTAGCAGGCTCTGTAGAAAGGAGATTCAGCTAGGACATCCAAGTAGAGAGAAGTGGTCAGAAGGGCTCAGAACCATCTCTCCTTCATAGGCTGTTCTTTGACACCTGCCCACATGACTTCCCAGGCCCTGCCCGAATGGGTGAGCCTTTGATGCGAGGCCAGTAAACACACATCATGGACAATGGTGGGCAATCTGGCCCCACCAGCTGTCAGACTTGGGCCTACTTTTTCAACTGTTTTATGCTCAAGGGCTTCCTGGGACTTTCGTTTCCTTTGGAAGCTTTCCTCACAGTGAAATAAAGGGGTTTCATGAAAACAGAGCCAAAGGGCCAAAGCACCAGCAGTAACTTGGGACCCAGGTAGCGTGTGAACTGAAATCAGACCTGTCAGCAGGAAATATAGGTGCTTTTAAAAAATCATGTCTTCAAATTAGAAACTTGAGTGTGTTTGGCTCTTTTAGGACTGAAAGTTCATTGCCTGCCTGGGCTACCTTTGCTGACTAATTTTTGCTGGAGACCGTTGCTTGCAGAAGCAAAGAAAGTCTGACTACTTGAGTTCACAGCATAGTGTCTTTCAGTGCAAAGGAATTAGGGAGAAAGGAGTGAAAAGGAATTAAGGAGAAGAAAGGAGTCAGCTACCTTTGAAAGAGGCTGTTCGGGGAAGAGGTGATAGAGACCCGCAAGGGATCATTGTGATATTCCACACGATCATTGTGATGGTCAGCCTTCTCCGCTAACACACAAACTCCCCACCCATTCACAGAGACAAGGATCGTGTTGGGGGTTATAAGATAGATAGAGCTGGCTCCAGCAGTTGGGGGAGGGGGCCAGGGAACAGAGGACTCTTTTTTCCTAATTAGCTGTTTTCATACAGGGAACACATGAGCCAAACACAACCACCAACTGTGTCTTTGACACGTACAGGCAGAAAGGGGGAGCTGAGCTTTTGTCTGCCACAAATTCTTTCAACTTGTCTGTTACCCCCAAGCCTCAAAACTCAACAATGAGTCAGATGAGGGAGACCATTTCAGACTGTTTGCTTAAAAGGTCTTGGAGACAGGTATTATTTATTTCAACCCCTTCTGGGCTGAAAAATCCTGTAAAAGTGAAATTGGGTTAATGCTGTTTTCTTTCCTATCTAAAAGTTTTGTGATCAGATTTTGTGACCAGCTACCTAAGTTGCCACCATGTCTGAAAATAGTATGTTGTTCAGAAAGACTGAAGTACTTTTTAAGGGGCCATATTTCTTAGTAATAAGTCTAACCTAGCCATAGAACCCAAATCAATCCACTGTCCAAATTTCCTTTGTCACACTGATTGGTGACTTACAAAGATATGAAATGCAAAGTATACAGCAAAAGCACATTAGTTTCCCTGACTAATGAATGGAAATTGACAATATACTTAGCCAGTGTAAGAATCAGCCAATTGAAGAAAAGGGATACATCAAGGAAAGAACGCCTTGATAGTGTGTGATATTGTGTGTGTGTGTGATACTGTTGATTCTTTCATTTCAAAGCATTCAAAAAAACCTCAAACTTTTCCAGCCACTCGCTGCAGTAAAAGCAGTGATGCAGGAATGATTTTCCCAGAGCCTGAGCTAGCGTGTGCTACCGCTAACTATGCTGGGTAGGCTGGAAGTCATCAACATGCCATGCCAGACCTGATGGTACTGCCCAGGTAGCAGACACCAGAACATTTCCATAGACTGCTGCAAAAGAGTTTTCATGTGTAGCCATGGCGTAAGCAGGTTCAGAGAACTTCCCAAATGCGGAGATGAAAGAAACCTACAACAAAACCTGTCTCCCGTTGGGGCAAACACAGTCTTTCAGGGACAGAGCTGTTTGGAAAAAATAGTGCCTTCTTTGTTTCGCCACATATTCATTCTGTTGTATAGCACAACTGGAAAATGGTGACAAGACCATAAAAAAGCGAGATGGAAAAGTGTCAAATTAAACTCTGAACAAACACCCAGAGCTGATAGGCTTAACTGGAGATAATGAGAAACGGAACCACATCTCTACTTGCAAAGTAAAACAGAGAACTGAAGCAATTACCCAGAAAAAGGATCAGCAGCCCCGTGCTGAAATGCCTAGGAAACTAGGCCCAAGCGTTTAGAGATTTCAAATGGCTGGATAACGCCTTAGAGGCCCACCTTACTCAGCTAATGGTGAACTGGCCTCAATGCAGACTCCTTCCCAGTGAAAAGGAGCTTAGCGTTCACCCCAACTCAGCCATCAGCTGGCTGCCACTGAGAATGTTTTAAGCATCGCTGTGGGCAGAGATGTCATCGAGAGGAGTTGGGGTGGGGTGTCTCCCAGAGATGATGAAAACCCAAGAGAGGTTAGCAAACGCAAAAGCGGAATCAGAGCAGATGCCCTCTTTGGATGAGGGTAAGCTCCTTAAGACAACTTTAGACAGTCTCCCCACCCCTGGGGTGTCAATCATGTCATTTGCAAATATTCAAATAAAAATTTCTTCTCATGTGGGGCATGAGAGGTGAGGAGCACAACTCTGGAATGTTCCAAGATGAACCTATAGAAGTATGTGCTGGGGACAGCGGGCCAAAGAGAGGCACAGTCACACCCTGTAATCCTCTTTAAACTCAAATAGTACCATCCATGTATTCAGAGTTGCATATATATATAACCTTTAGCATGCGATTTTGTCTTTCTCCCTGAAAATCCCAACATGTCATGTCCCCTAGAACAGATGTGTCTCAGGCGATGTCTTTGTGGCCAAGAAAGACTGTGTCACTGACTTCAAGAAAGTGCGCTCAATTCATAATGCCCAGGGGGGGAAAGTGTCTAGAGCTGAGGGCAGTAGCCTTACCAAAGCTGGGAGCACTATGTAAGGTCATGTCCCGGATCACCCTTGTGCCAAAACAGGACCACATCAAGAGGAACTGCTGGGCCACTTTCTTCAGAGACCCTTGTCTCTTGGCAGCAACCTACAAGAAAGTGCCTGGTTTTAGTAGTGGTCAACTTGACCTTTCATCTATCAGTGTCTCCTTAAAAGATGACAGGAAAGCTTATGAGTCTCCAGGGTCAGTGCCATGGAGCAGTGGCTTTTGACTTTTTGTTTTCAGTGGCAAAAATATACTTTGAAAAATGAAATATTAGGCAGAACCCCAATATACACAACAGATAAAGGAGACACTAATTTGGTTGAATCAGGGGTAGGAGACTCTGAGACCAGCTACTTGCTGTCCCCCATCTTCTCAGGGACCCATCACCACCTCCACATCCACCACCACCACCAAGCCTCTCATTAGAATCCTAGGGCTCTGTGACAACTGAGGGCCGTTCTAACAGCTCACTGACAGGCTCTGTATTATCCACATGTTGACAACAGTGAGTAGTGGAGGGCAGCTCCAGTCAACCCACCTTCACAACACATCGGTCCACCATGGTATCCAGCCACTCAATGTAGGAGTCAATGGGAGACTGCTCTTCCAACAGATGGTCAAACTCTTGATACACTGTCAACAGAAGAGAAACCGACTCACATCGCTGCAGTTGTGTTTAAACAGGGCTATGTCTCAAACAAACAAAGAAATAACATTCATTTTATAGAATAAAGTTCTAAAAATCTTATCAGGGCATTCAAGATTCTGAAATATGCCCTAACTTACCTTCACAAGCCCATCTTCCATCCCTGCAAACACTTGCCATTCCCCTACAAGCCCCAATGCATCACAGCCTTTGGCCTCTTCTTAGGCAGTTTTTTTGTTTTTTGTTTTTGCTGGAATGGTCTTTACTCTCCTTCTCTCTGGTTCTTCATGGACCAGCGAAATGACCCTCATCGTAATATCCTTGTAATCTTACCCATGACCCTTTCCAACACAACTTATCACTCCTCTACAATCCCTGGGCTGTGTATTCTTTGAAATTCAACCTTCATTATAGCTTTAATACCATTGTACCATAGTTAGGTGTGTGTGTTTCTCTATGCACGTGTATGCCCGTATCTATCTTCTCTCTTGTTCTTGTCCATTATATGGCGCCTTTATCTGCAATACAACTCTTACCCAATAAATGCTTGTATGAATGAATGAATGGGCAGAGGCACTTCTGTTCTCTGGCTCTCTGTCCAGCGGTAGGGCCTATGAGACCACTAAATGGTGCTGGACCACAGATATATTGGGCAAGTGGCCCAACCGGCCTCTAAGTGCACAGCACACAGTAGGTGCTTCAGGAAAATGAGTCTGTTGGATAGATGATGCAATCTCTCTCGCTACTCCTTGGTTTTCTTATTAATTGATTGGGGAGCATCACACCGTTTCACAGCCTGTGTCTTCAGCTGCAAGTCAGATAATGGAATCTAGAAGTGCTTTGTAATCTAGAGAACACTTGAGAAGATGTGAGAACTATCGCTGTGGTGATCTCCACTGTGAAACAGTCTCTTCTCATTGAATCTTCTGTGTCTTTGTGTGTAAGCGCTCAATAAATCAAGGTGTAACTCAATTTCCAAACATTTCTATCATTTCCTTTTGTTGTTAGGTGCCATCGACTCATAGTGACCCTATGCACAACAGAACGAAACACTGCCCGATCCTGGGCCAACTTCACTATTGTTGCCACGCTTGAACCCATTGATGCTGCCACTTTGCCAATCCATCTCGCTGGGGGTCTTCCTCTTTTACTCTGACCCTCCACCTTACTAAACATGATATCCTTCTCCAGCAACTGGTCCCTCCTGACAATATGTCCAAAGATTGAGAGACAAAGTTTGGCCATCCTGATCTCCAATGAGCACTCTGGCTATACTTCTTCCAACACGGATCTGTTGGTTCTTTTGGCAGCCCATGGCACTTGCAATATTCTCTTCCAATACTATAACTCAAAAGCATAAATTCTTCTATAGTATTCCTTATTCACTGTCCAGCTTTTGCATGCATATGAGGTTATTGAGAATACCATGGCCTGGGTCAGGTGCACCTTAGTCTTCAAGTTGACATCCTTGCTCTTCAACACTTTAAAAAGTTCTTGTGCAACAGATCTGCCTAATGCAATACATCGTTTGATTTCTTGACTGCTGCTTCCATGAGTGTTGATAATTGATCCAAGAAGAATGAAGTCCTTGACAACTTCAATTTTTTTCTCCGTTGATAAAAATGTTGTTTATTGGTCCAGTGGTGAGGATTTTTGTTTTCTTTACACTGAGATGTAATCCACACCAAAGGCTGTGCTCTTTGAGACTGTCATCAGTAAGTGTTTTAACCCCTCACTTCCAGCAAGCAAGGTTGTATCATCTGCATATTGCAGGTTGCTAATGAGTCTTCCTCCAATCCTGATACCACATTTTTCTTCATAGGACCCAGCTTCTCAGATTATTTGCTCAGAATACAGGTTGAATAATTATGGTGAAAGAATGCAACCTTGTCGCACACCTTTCTGAATTTTGAACCATTCAGTGTTCCCATGTTCTGGTCAAACAAGTACCTCTTGGTCCAGGCCCAGATAGGAAGCACAGGGAGGAAGTAGGATAACTGCTGTTACAGGGAGGGAATGTCATCATAGAGCTGAAACAAATGTATGATTTGTGGACTATAAAGCTGATGATCTTGCCTGTAAACTTTCATTCAATTCCCAATTAAAAGTTAAAAAATAAAGAAACTCAACATCTAATTCCTCTAGAAGAATACCTTCAGAGCTTAGAGGGCACCCTGCTGCCCTGCACTGAAAGGAGCTTGCAGAAGGAAGCACCCAATGGTTCTTTTGCCTCCATGGTGATCCAGCAGAGGCTTGGAGCGTGGTTTCTAAAGCAAGAAACCAGGTGACTGAATCTTTTTCCTGTGAGTTGGGTCCACACAGAAGGGAGACAAGAGCTGAGTTTTAAGCTGCTCAGAGTGATGAGCAAGGCCAGGAAGTTGGCTCACCCTGGGTTTCCATTCATTTTACTGTCACATCTGACTGGTATGACGTCCGAGCCAGATGTGGGCTGTCCATCCATCTTCTAGTAGAAGAAGCAGAAGAGGAACATGATTATGAGAACTTGGAACAATCTGGGAACGTCTGAAACTTGCCCACACTTGGGTATTTTCTCCGTTGAGTAACCAGCAATGGTACCTAGAGGTGATGCTGGACTAGGCTTGGGTTCGAGTTCCAGCCCTGTGGCTTAGTGGCCTTTTGACCTTGGGACCAGTTCACCAGTTCTCTGAAGCTGAGGAGTCTCCTCATCTGTCAAACGGTGGTGACAAGAGTGTCTTTCTCAGGTGGTTGATGTGGAGATCAAATAGGATCATATAGGGACCAGTTTGGCACAGGACCTGTCATAGAACAGGTAGTCGAGACACTGAACAGTTATTTTGGTGATGAGCCCTAAAACTCCCAACAGGGGGAAATGACTTTGGAGACATCAAGAAGGGGAGGAGCTGGGGTACTAGGTGCCACTTGGGACCTGTCCCTAGAGAAGAACCCAAGGAGTGGAGAGATGTCAGGGAGCCAGGGAAAGCTGGCTGGGGCTGCCAGAGAGGAAGAAATAAAGCTGAGGTAAGCCTGGAATTGACCAAGAAAAAGGCCTCAGGGAACGTTTCCATGTCATCTGCCCTTTTATTTTCTCTGGTAATACTTCATTTTAATGTTTGGTTGTCATTGAGAACTCTCTGCTCTAACAATTTCTCCATGCATGTCCATCTGCTTTAGAAAAGAGTAGAGCGGGAATGAATTCTGGAATAAGAACATTTAAATCCAAAGACCCTTCATTGTACAGTCAGTTCCCACGCATAGTGACCGGACATGACAGAGCAGAACTCCTCCCTAGGTGCCTGGGCTGCAAACATTCACAGAAGCAGCATGCCTCATCTTTCTCTCCCAGCGCGGATGGTGGGTTTGAACCACTGATCTCTCCATTGCTTTGACCACTATACCAGGCCTCACAGGAACATTTTTGTTGTTAACGTGTGCTGTCTAGTCTGTTCCGACTCATAGCAACCCTGTATAGGGTTTACAAGAATGGTTCCTGGGTTTGAACAGCCAGCCATGCGGTTAGCAGTACAGTGATACTGCTTGTCCTACAGCCCCACACCAGGGCTCAGGAACATCTTAGAGAACCTTATTTGCTTATAAGTACCACAAGCTTAGATGAACTGAAAGTTTTCCCTCCAGACAATAGTGCACATGATGGAAATCTAAGGAGACAGGAGCTTTTAGAATAACGCACGGTTATTTTAAAAGACAGCCACTATGAATGTCTCCAAACACGCCACTTCTACTCCCATGATTCCGGGGCTCATCTTGTTCAGAAGGTGGCGATGCAGCAATCTTCCTGGGAGATGCTCTCCTCATCGTCTTTGTCTGAGAGCTGGTGGGGGTGTATTGACTCACCCTCTGGCTCTCATACTCCCTGTTCCATTAGACTGGACGAAGGAAGAACGTGGCCTAGAGGTGCAAAGCCAGCATCCCTAGACTGGGAGGTGGCCTGGGCAGCAGACTGAGGTGGGCGTTTGAGGAATGAGGATGGTGTCCCCTGGCCCTCTTGTACTTCTTTACTGCTAAGAATAAGCATCCTGACCTTACCATGGTGATATCAGAAGCAGGGTCCCTGCAGTAGACATAAGTCTTCAGAAGGAATCACCATCTGCCCCCTTTCTCAGACATCTTACTGACTGAGATGGAAAATTTTACTTGACAATACGTGGGCTGACTCAGAAGACCCTCCTCTGAAAAACATACAGTGTCTCCACTGACTTCAGACTGACATATCCTGAGAGGCACTAATGTCACCTCCGTGGAACTACATCTGCATTCAGGATCACATGCAGGGTCTTTTGCATGACATTGTGGGCTGCCCAGTTGCACCAGAACCCTTTTCCCCCAGCAATATTGACACATGTCCTCTTAAATAAACTAAGCCTTCCATCTGGGCAGACCCATTTAATAGAAACAGTGAGGGGGAGGGGGAATGCCATTGGAATATTTACCAAGGTCTTATTAAAAACAAAAACAGAAAGACACAATCTCTGGTGGAACAGCTTACACTGGATGATGAGTTTCCGGTGTTCATCGCGAGAGTCTTCCATGGTGTACAGGGTTTGCTTGGTGATGCTGTTCAAGTCTACGTTCCTCCAGTCCTCCAGCATTTGGAACGTGATGTCTGCACTGTGGATCACCGTCCGCGATGCCTATAATCCAATCCAATCAACTCATTAGCTCCTGGGTTGGTACATGAAATCTCTTCACTTTATTTCCTTTTATGCCTCTTTAATGCATCTGGTTTTGGTGTTTTGCAAAACTACTTTGAAATTAAGGGAACACACAGCTTCAGGAAATCAGCAGCTCACTCCACAAAACTCAAAAGACCCCCGTAACACTATTTTACCTTGTGGTTCTTTCCTCATATCTCCTCCTCAACAAGAAACTACCAAGATGGCCCAGGCCAGACCAAGCCCAGCTGTTCCCATCCCTTTGGTCTTTATTCCGTGGAAAAAATGGAATGAAGACCAGAGATCTGTTAATTTTTTTATGTAAACTGTGGGAAGAAAGTTCTGTGCTTAATAACCTAGGTGTCCCTAGCGTCTGAGAAGCAACAGGCCTAGATTTAGGAATGTCTCAGCTATCTGGGACAGTGATAGACTTACAGTACAGAGCACACACACACACACACACATATTGTATGTCTTTTAAATGGGGGCAGCAAACTCTCACTATTCACTCACTGCCACTGAGTTGGTTCCGACTCACAGGAGCCCTGTATAATAGGGAGAAAGCTTCATCTTTCTCCTGAGGAGCCTCTGATGGGTTTGAACCGCCGACCTTGTGGTTAGCAGTCCAGTGCTTATCCTACAGCTCCACCAGGGCTCTGAAACCCTCATTAATAGAACTGACATTTACTAGTTGGAATAACACTTGGAATAATACTGAAAAAAAACAAAGAAGCATTTCTAGGACCATTTCCTTTTGGTTCATGCTTTTAAAAAATAGTCTTCAATAAAGTAAAGATTTCAGATGCAAGTGGACATGATAAGCTCCCTAATGCTTGTGAATTTCCAGCTGCTGGAAATTTCCTGCTGACAACCCCTGGTCAAGCCCAGACTTTTTGAACAGGACTGTATTCTCACTTAACTCATCTTACAAGTCTTTGAATGTTCTCTGAAGGTCACAGAAGCCTCGAATGAGTTGGGTCAGTCTCTCACAATACTAAAAACAACTAGGATCGGGGTTTCCAAATTCAAACTTAAAACCCCCTGCTGTAGGGCTGATTCTGACTCACAGCAACCCTATACGACAGAGTAGAATTGCCCCTATGGGGTTCTCAAGGCTGTAAATCTTCACTGAAGCAGTCGGCCACATCTTTCTTCCAAGGAACCGCTGGTGGGTTCGAACCACCCAACTTTCTGGCTAGCAGCTGAGCACTTAACCACTGTACCACCAGGGCTCCTTTAGATTCAAACACACCAGGTTTAAATCTGGCCTTGCTGCTGACCAGCTGATCCATTTGGGGCAAGCAAATAAGTCTTTGCTAACTTCCGTTTCCAGATCGGAAATGGGGTTGTAGTGGAACCAGCTACATCTCTTAAGGGGGGTTGCTGTTGAGGGTTTTCTTGAGGTAATGTTTGAAATGCATCATGCACCAAGTAAGAGCTGAAGAAAGATGACATGCGCTGAATAAATGTGTGGAAAACTGAGAGGAGGAGTATGCGTGTGCACTTGTGCACATGTGGTGGGTGTCAGCCTGACTGAAGTTGTCTTCATCTACACACACACTAAGGGAACAAAGGCCCTTCCTGGGCTGCTGAGGCCCAGAAGGAGACACCACAGCCATGTCTGGGCCCCTGACAAGACTCAGAGAGTGCTCCCAAACTGAGGAAAGAAACGAAAGGCCAAGCTGACAAGGACCCCAGGAATATGGCAACTTCCTTGCTTTGCAAACACTCGTTGTCTTCCCTGAGTTCCAGTATTCTTTGAGGCCTTGTCCCCTCCTCAGAGCAGTGTCCAGGCATGGGCTCTGCACCAGGCACTTGGACCTGGAAGAGTTTCCTCTGGTCACCATTCCTCCAGGAGCAGTGAGGGGTACCACGGTGGAGCTTTCTGCTTCCTGCTATTGGCTGAGAGCCTTCCTTCAGGCCTTCCTCCCTCCCACCTTGATCTTGAATGACCAGCACCAATCCAGAACCAACAGCACTTTACAGGAGAGAGAGCTTGCCCATCAGAACACACGAAGAAGCAAGTCGGTGACATGTAAAAGTGAGGTGGGCCAGGCGCTGAGAACGTGCCCTGGGGATGGAGCCTGAGCCACCCTGCTGGTTACTGTCCTGGGAAATGCAGCGCTTCTGGGATTCCCCTGAAGCTCTAAATTCCAACACATGTGGATTTTTAGCTGTTCTCTCTCAGTTTTAAATGTTGTCCACCAAGTCAAAAAAAAAAAGTTTGGACATGTGCCGTTAAAAAATAATCATAACCACTGTGCATCTGAATCTGAGGGCCAGAGTCGGCCTGTGGCCACCAGCTTGCAGCCTCTGAACTTAAGGTCATTAATACTTACCTACCAGCTGTTCTGTGGGAGAAAGATGAGCCTTTCTGCTCCCGTAAAGATTTACAGCCTTGGAAACCCTGTACAGGGTCACTATGAGTCGGAACCGACTTCACGGCACATAACAACAACAATAACTATACTTAAATGAAATGATAATGAACCACCTCTGTCAGACTTCAGTTCCCCTCAATAAGGTAAAATTGAAATAGAAGAGTGAAGTTCTAGGGCATCAAGCTCTCTGACTATTCAAGGTGTAGCCATGGAGGAGAGAGGGGCATGCAGTGAGATCTTTCACTTTTTAATTCAGTTGTTGTTTTTGCTGTTGTTAAGCGCCATCGAATCGGTTCCGACTCGTAGTAACTCTATATTGGGTTTCTGAGGAGCGGCTGGTGACTTTGAACCACCAACCTTGAGGTCTAGTGCTTACCCTACGGCACCACACCAGCACATTTTGGTAATGTTCAAGACATTTTTATAGCAAGTATATTCCATGTAACATAAATCAGGAAAAAAATGAACAAACCTGGGCATATACTTAATACTTGGACTCTTTTGATGTTCATCCTCTTAATCTGTTAGACTCTTTTACTGCAGAGGTTCACAACCAGAGGTGGTTTTGCCCTCAGGCTGCATTTAGCAATGCCAAAGTACATCCTTGGCTAAAGTACGTCCTTGCCAGAGTACAGCCTAAAGCACTCAGCTGCTAGCCAAAGGGTTGGAACTTCGAGTCCACCCAGATGTCCTTCTAAAGAAAGGTCCTGCAATCTACTTCCTAAAACCCAGTTATTGGAAACCCTGTGGAGCCCAGTTCTACACATGGGGACCATTCACCATGAGTTGGAATCAACTCAAAGGCAGCTTGTTGGTGGGTTGGTTGGTAGTTGGACATTATTGTCACAAGTGATGGGGTGGGAGGAAGGTGGAACTACTGGCACCTAGTGGGGACAGGCAAGGGATGATACTAAATATCTAGACGGCAAGGAACAGGCTCCCACAACAAAGAAGTACCCACCCTACAATGTCAAAAGTGCTGAGGTTGAGAAATCTTGATGTAAATTAAGGGTAATATAAAGTTGTGGACCTACAACATATCAGAAAGGTCAAGGGGCAACTAAAGTCAGAAATCATTTTGTACTGTTTGTAGTTAAAGCTGTTTCGTGATTGGCTTTCTTTGTTCCTTATCTGAAGATTTTCACTATAGGACTGAGAGTGTACTATTAACCACATGTCCTCCAGGGAGTTGTTTTTTGTGGATTTGACCTTCACTGGCAATGATTCAGCAGTAGTTAAAATGCATGACGTACGACAGCTACCTGGCAAAGATGATTTAGTGATGTTTGCCGTCTCAGAATCTGGGAGAACCTTCTCGACACTGCAAGAAGAAAAGAGTTAGTTTTGAGATAATTGCATGCTTTATGGCCCAGCCTTGGATTTTTCCAGGGGCACATTTCCCTTCTTGGCCTAAAGTTTTCTCACTGTCCAACCCATTTTCTATACCCACTGACCAAAACCAAATCTCGCCCTGGATTCCTTGTTCTCCCATTTGGACTTTGAGAATCAGTTCCCTCAGGGTGATATTTGGGGTCCACGTTTCAAAGTCATGCACATGTCACACTGGCAGGTGTGAGAAATTGTGGCGCCAATCAACCGTGAGTAAAAGCAATTATTGACTTGTCTTTCATTTCACTAATTACAAGCTCAATCACTATTCCCCATAAAGAATTGCAAGAATCAAATGAGAGCTTTGAAGAAGCCCGTTTTAAAAAAGTACTATTTCTAATGGGAAACAGGGATTGAGCCTCAGTGGCGTGGGGTGCTAGGAGATGCTTCTTGACGAAGCACTGGGCTGCACCTTAATGTCACTTTGTGCTTAGAGTCGGCCCGTTGGCCAAAACACATAACCCATGTATGTTTTTGGAAGCCCCGTGCAAGTAGGAAAACTTCCTGTTATCTTCCACTCACATAAACTGAGAGAAGCTAACAGGCTGACATTACTTAAATCCATGGATTTCCAAAAGGCAGGGATGTGCCTGCCCAAGGTCTTCATTCTTCCAGAGTTTTGGGGGTGGTGTTTGTCCAGGCCCTTACATGTACTCCATGTGCACTCCTAAACTTCCTCCAGGCACCCACAGGTGGCAGGTCCAACATACTTCCTCACCATTGACTTTCAGCAGGTTTGTTTTGTCACCGTAATTAAAATGGGCGCGAGGCATTCGGCTCATTAATTTCTGAACAGGCCAACAAATAGGCAGACATTTCCCTTGGATTATTCTAATTTGGACTTGGGGCCAGCTGGGTTTGAAAAATAGGCGTGGGGTGGAGGAATATTGGTGGTAGTTGGGGGTGGGGGGTGGAGGTTGGGCAGATGAACTTCTAATTTTCCAGGCCGATCAATCGTTAATCCTTCTCCTTAATTACTTTTTCTTTAACTTTGTGATGTGGAATTTAGTGCTCATGGAAAGAAAAGAACTGAGAGGCGTGAAATAAAGCAGGCTTTATCAATAGGTGATGGGCCCTGCAGGCTGCCTCAAAGCGAGTCTGAAAGGGCCCCCTTTGCCTGTGGGGAGAAGGTAATTTGATCTCCTTGGTTTTCCTCGCTGGACAAGAATCGTTTGGACCAGAAGTGTGAGCTGTATTCAAATGAAGCTTTAAGAAATATATATCTCACAACTTAGAAATCATTTCATCTTCGTTTAACAGCAACAAATGGGTCTTTGCACACAAGTCTCACCAGAAGGCCCATCCTGACAGAAAACAACAGAATCTGTTTTTCTCAGACTGAAAGAACACTGGGGAGTGAGCAATACAGATCAGCCAAGAAAAGACTCAAAGTCTCAGCCCCTTCTGAGAAATATTAATTTGGCTTTCTTATTAGACAGGGGAGTAAGTACCTGAACCCTTTAAGTTGTCTCCTACTCCCACCATCTTGTGGGCAGGGGCTTTGTGGCAGTCTCAGAGCTTTGGCATCAGATGGCACAATCTTTGACTCCTGGCTTCTACTTACTGGCTATGGGGTGGCGTGACTCTGGGGAAGTTTCTTTGTCTCTCGGAGCCTCATCAATAGAATAGGGAAACTCTTTCCTTCACCACCCCACAGAATGTACAGAGTGTGGTAGTGATTAGCACAAACTTAGGTGTCAGACAGACAGACCTGGGGACAAATCCTTGCCCTGCTCCTTACTGTCTGCCTCTGTTGGCTCCTTTTCTGTATGCGCCCTCCACAATAAACATTGTATGAGGATTACGTAGGGTAACGTGTATAAAGTTCTTATCATAATACCCAGTGATTTATAGGCAAAGAGCGAATTATGGGTAATATTATTATTATCTTATTAACACCCTGTGTCAAATGTTTGTCAGTAAAATATGATTCCCCCCTTCCCCTCTGCTGCCAAGCTCACTTTTAGTACTTACGTTCAAACTTGATGTTTCGCAGATTTTCTGGGAGGTCATGGAGAGCCACTTTCAGCCACTCATCCAACTGCTTGGCAAACTTTCGGATCACCTGAGTTAAGCTACAAAGAGAAAGGATGCATTTTAAGGATGCTGTGTGGATTGCATTTCCCCTGGTCACTTGTGTTAGGTGGCACCCACAACAGGAGAGGTCTGCTGTAGGCATCCTAAGTCCTGAGAAGCAGTATATCGGGGCAGAGCTGGTCGACCAGGATGATGTAGCAAGCATAGGGTCGCAGGAGAAGCCAATGAGAGCCTTGGCTGCCTCCAGAACTTGGGCAAGCAAAGTTAGGTCCTTCTTGTTTTTAAAGAGCTGCGTGTGAGACAGTGGGCCCAAGAGATGCGCTCTGCAATTGGTCTCTTCACACTGCCAAAACCTTTTGTCTTGTCCACGTCCCCCAGCCAGGCAGGAACCCTGTCTGCAGTACACGGCCATGCCTGCCCACCAGCTTGGACTGGACTGGCAAGCAAGAGCATATTTAAAATAGTCAAACAGCCTTGAGATGCGCCTTGAAGCCAGATCAGGTTTTGAAAGTCAGGCTCCAGTTTGGGCTGAGAGGATGGTGGGAAGGGAGATAACGAGGGTGTGGGGAAGATGGGGCTTTGGAGTAGAAAAGACATTGGGCACCATTTCCAGATTCTCACCATCAAAATCATCTCAGAGCTCTCAGTCCAATTTTCTCCGCGAGGTTCACGTTGACCATGCCAGCCACAGGAACCTCTCCTGTGTTGACCGCCTTCTACCCACACCACTTTGACAACTTTGGTTCAGTCTCCCACCAAGTCTCTCCTGTCTGACCATGGTCACCAGCTTCACCCTTTGAGCAATCCTGCCTCATTTCTGTGATCACTCATACTTCCCCGTTTCACAACTCTCCGACCTTTCCTGTGACCCTCACACTTCCTACTGCTCAAGGAAAACACACCACAAAGGAAAAATGTCATGGACATTCTTCTATTGAATGGATCATCTTCCCTCCTTCCTGACAGGATAAAGAAGTAATCTGCCTCTAGTCCAAAGCCAAATCTCCATCCCACCCGCTCCTGCCTTCTCAGGAACATTACATTATTGACTATTCTTTCTCCGTATTTTCATCTCCCTCCCCACTGGATCATTCCATTCCTCTCATCGTTTAATGTGTTCAAGAATGTCTCACCTTAAGAAAATAAAACCTAATTAAAAACTCCTCAGGTTACCACACTCCTTCTCTTCCACTTCTTCACCGCCCCTTCACTCTTCCGCTCACTCTTTGTCCCTCAGCCTAAATAGCTCTCACCAGGCAGCAACCGGAAGCCATGACACCAAACCCAGTGGGAGCTTTCAGGTCGTCATCTGGCTAGAGTTCTGGGCACATTCCATTCTGTTACCTACTTCCTCCTTCTGAAATGACTTTCTTCCTTGGATATTTGTGGCCTCTCTCATTCTTCTGGTTGTTCCTCCTTAGTCACTTTTGAGTTACTCCTTCCTTCCACTCCTACTTGGCCAATACACTCTTCAGTTCTTTATGTCTAGTCTTGGGCCCTCTCTTCTCATCACTCTCAATTCCTTGTTTTCTCAATGCACACACCTCCAGTTACCATCCACACTCATTGTTATATCTCCAACCCACTCAGAGTTCCAGACCAACCACCCACTATATATATGAAAAAGTCCCAGAGGCATGCCAAAGGCAATGCCCCAATGGAACTCATGGTGCCCCTGGCCCACCCAGTCCCAGTCTTTTTCTTATGTGTCCAATTTCAGGGCCTGCCCCATCTTCCAGAACATTTTTGCTTTTAATTTTATTTTATTATGAAAAATTTAAAGCATAACTCAAAATAGACATAATAGTATACGAAAACTCCCTTGTTCTCATAACCCACCTTCAATAATGAACAACATTTCACCAGCTGACCACCACGTCGATTCTGCTAGCTAGTCGATTCTGACCCATGATGAAGTCATGTGTCAGAGTAGAACTGTGCTCCCTAGAGTTTTCAGTAGCTAATTTTTCAGAAGTAGCTCCCCAGGTCTGGCTTCTGAGGCACCCCTGGGTGGACTGGAGTCTCTAACCTTTCAGTTAGCTACTGAGTGCATTAACCAATTACGCTACTTAGGGATTCCTTAACCTGTCATACCCTAACTTTTTCTGGGTCAAGTGTTTTCAGCAAATCTAATTTGTCATGTCACTTCATCCTTGAAAAAGTCAGTATGCATTTCTGAAAGTTTGAATATGTATACATATGTGTACAGATACACACATACATATACTCCTACAACATGCCATTAGTATACTAACGGAATAACCAGTATTCACATACCTGTATTCAGGTTTATCTATTTGTCTCAAAGACATCTTTTAGTTATTTGAATCAGGATCCAAACATGGTTGACACAATGCATACAATAAATACAACATGCATTTTTCTACTTCTTGTCTTTTTACATTTAAATCCTATTTCATGCTATTGACTTATTGGTAATGTGGTACAATTTGCTTCTTGGAGTACCCCCACCCCCGACACACACACACCATTCTGATTGAACTGAATACATCCTTGTAGGGCCATTTAACTTGTTCCTCAACTCTGAACTCTTCCTATAAATTGACAGGTCTAAAGACTCAGCGAAATTCAGCTGTAATTTTTGTAGGCAAGAAAATGTCACACTATTCTTAGGATCAAAACCAGAGTCTTCACCACAGCTCCAAGACTCCAACCCTAGGCCACCTTGCACTTCCTCCATCCACATTTTGGCTTCAGGGTTCTGCCCTGTTCTCTCCCACCTCAGGGCTTTTGCCCATGGCGTTATCTCAGCCAAGAGCTCCTCTGCCTTCTTCACTTAGTCAACTCTCATCCATTCCACACATGACATGCTACTTCCATGGGGAAAACTAGACGAGGTCTCATCCCCATATTCCTCTTGACCAAACCAAATGAAACTCACTGATGTCAAGTTGATTGTGACTCATAGCTACCCTAGAGGTCAGAGTGAAAGTGACCCACAGAGTTTCCTCTGGAGTCCTGGCGTGGCGCTGTGGGTTAATGCACTGGACTGCAAAGTTGGTTTGAACTGCAAGGTTGGCAGTTCAAGCTCACCAGTTGCTCCTTGAAAACCCTGTACAGGGTCGCTATGGGTCGGAACCGACTCGACGGCACTTAACAACAATAACATAAGGTTTGAAAGGCTTTAGGGAAGCAGACTGCCCCATCTTTTTCCCATGGAGCAGCTGGTGGGTTTGAATTGCTGACCTTTCAGCTAGCAGGTAAGCACTTTAACCACTGTGCCAGCAGGGCGCCTTATTCCTCATGAAGAGCTCGGTCATCGTTACCCTTTGCAATGACAGGCAGTTCCTGAGTTACTAACAAGATCCACTCCTAAGTGTACCTTTAAGTCAAATCTGTGGGTAAGTCAGAACAGGTGCATATGCAAGAAAGAAGCATTGGTGGCTTGGTGGGATAAGCACTGAGCTGCTGACTGTGGAGTCGGCGGTTCAAACCCACAAGGCTCTCTGCAGGAGTAAGATGAAGCTGTCTCTGCAGGAGTAAGATTTACAGTCTCAGAAACCCTAAAGAGCAGTTTCTCTTCTATCTTACAGGGTCACTTAAGTCAGAATCGACTGGTAGTGGGTGGCAGGGTTTGGGCTCAATTATTTCAAGATGAGGGCAAATTTGCAATCCTGCTGTGGCACTGTAGGACAAGTACTGGACAGCTAACCGCAAGGTCAGTGGTTCAAATCCACCAGCCGCTCCTCGGGAGCCCTATACAGGGTCTCTATGAGTCAGAACTGACTCGAATGGCTCTTAACAACAACAAAGGGCAAGTGGAGTGGCTCTGCTGGATAAGCACTAGATTGCTAACTACAAGGTCAGCAGTTTGAGCCCACCAGCTGCTTCACAGAAGCAAAAATGAGGTTTTCTGCTCCAGCAAAGTTTTACAGCCTCTGAAACAGGGTCACTATGAGATGGCAACCAACTTGATGACATTTAACAACAGCAACAGAGAGCAAGTCATTCTGTAGATTAGACTTCCACTCTGTAACCCGAGGGCTGCCTGTACACACTAACTGGGGAATCTGATTAACGTGCATCTTCCCCACTAGACTGTCAATTCCATGAAGAGGGCAGGGGCTGTGCTGTTTTGTTTATCACAGTATCCTCTGCACCTAGCAGTGTACCAGCCCTGTATGAGGCAGGTAAGAAAAACATGTTAAATGAAATGAATGGATGAATCGCTCCCAGCCCTCAGATGGACAGACCTCAGCATACTCCCCACAAAGACGCTGCACAGATTGTTCCTCTCCGTCCCACCCCATTTAGTCCTCTGACTTCAGCTCCTCCCACTCTGCCCAGCTTACTCCAACCCCACAGTGTCAGCCTCCTTCCTGCTTCTCCAGGACCGTACCTGCCTCATCCAGGGCCTTTGCACCTGCTGTTCCCTCGTCTGGAGAGCTCTTGACCCAGATCATCTCATAATTCCCTGCCTTATTAACGTCAAGTGATGCTTCTCTGCTGCCAGTAGAGTATTTAAAATGTCCAGTCTCCCCACTCACTCAATACTCTCGAGCCTCCCACCATCCTACTATAGGCTGAAAGCAGCCTATAGTAGGGTAATGCTCACAGGTCACTGCAATTGTCCAGACAAGAGAGTGGTCAGGATGGAGGTGGTGACCATAGCACTGGGGAGATGTGATCAGATTGAAATATTTTGGAGCTAACAGGATTTCCCCATGAGTCGATGAGGGTTGTGGCTTGGACACTACACAGGTTGCAAAAGAGTCTTATCAACCTGGAACCCCCAAACGTGACCTTATTTGGGAAGAGGGTCTCTGCAGGTATAATTCAGAGAAGCCCCATTAGTGTAGGCTCCAAACCTAGTGACTGGCGTCCTTAGAGGAAGTAGACGAAGAGAAGACCCAGAGGTAAAGATGCCATGTGAAGACAGAGGCAGAGATTGGCATCCTGCGGCCAGAAGCCATGACCTGCCAAGGTTTGCCAGGAGCCACCAGAGGCAAGAGAGAGAGGACTTGTCACCGGCGCCCTCAGAAAGATCATGGCCCTGCTGACATTTTGCTTTCAGGCT